TGGCCAGCTACTAAATGCTCACCAAAAAACAGTTTTTAGTTGCGCTGCAAGTTGCGCTACCGGTTTGGAAACGCTGCTTGACCGACCTGCTAAGGCTACAGCCCCTGCAACGGCAGAAAGCTCTTTGCAAGATGCATCGAGTGATACATTGAAGCGCTCTTGGAGGTACCTGAGAAGGAGCAAATGCATCCTTGCACCTCATCAATGCACAGAAAACTTGTAAAACTAGTTGCCTGCCCAGTGGCTCCCGCGCAAGCCAAAGACGATGTTTCCCTGTGCCAGCCTCAATCCAAACAAACTAACCAGTCAAATGTGAGAACCAACGTTTGGTTCATGACAGGTTTGGAGGTCTCAGATGCGTGGCCCAATGCACGATAAGCGGGTTCCTCGGCAGCGACTGTCGAGAACGAGAATCTCCATTTCAGCATAGATATGTTTTCTTGTTGTTTACCTCCTATCTATCTATCTATCTATCTATCTACCTATCAGCCTTTTGCAGATCGAATGGCTACTCTGGCCACGATGTCCTGCACCGGAAACGGTGTAGCGGTGTGAACGGTGTCAACGGCGAAACAGTGTAAACGGTGTACACAGTGTAATGGTGTAATCGGGGGTAACCATGTAATGGTGTAAACGATGTAGAAACTGTATCACCGGTGTAATGGTGTAAACGGTGCAGACGGAAAGGAGCACAGGCATCCTGCAAACAGCGACAACGGGAAACGAACGAAGGCGAAACATATTCCACCAAAGCTAGAATGTTAGTTTTGGTATAAGTGTGGTACCTGTGTTTTAGGCTTCGTTCGTTTCCTGATACCTTGTCGCTGGTTGCAGGATGCCCGTGGCTCCTTTCGTACTATACAGGAAGCCCTGGCTCCTTTGCGTTCGGCTTGCACGCCGCCATGCAGGTTTCACAGCCGGTCAGGGAGCGCCTTGTTTCATGCAAAAATGTGGTGGCTCAGTTTTAGACTTCCTTCGTTTCCTAATGCAATGTCGCTGCAGGGTGCAGCCTGCGGCTGCTTTCGTAGTACGCAGCGTGCCTTCGGCTCCTCCTTCGTGACCGGTTGGCACGCCACGCAGGTTTCATTGCGGGTCGGAATCTGCAGTGTCTGCGCCGTATTTCGTGCTACTTGTGTCTTTGCTCACAGATCCTCTTTTCAACAAACACTACTTCCTGGGCCATCACGAATGGCACGAGCCCTTTCTCCTTCCCATGCTCTGCTCCGTGCGTAGCATGTGCTTTCCGGTAGCAGCAGCAGCAGCAGCAGCAACCAGCAACCAGCAACCACAATGGCAGCAGCAGTAGCAGCACAAAGCACTAGCCAGCAGCAGCAGCAGCAGCAGCAAGCAGCGGCAGTAGTAGAAAGCCGCGGCAGCAGCAGCAGCAACCAGCAACCAGCAATCAGCAACGGCAGCAGCAGTAGCAGCAAAGCAGTAGCAGCAACCAGCAGCAGCAAGCAGCGGCAGTAGTAGAAGCAGCGGCAGCAGTGGCAGCAGCAACCAGCAACCAGCAATGGCAGCAGCAGTAGCAGCAACCAGCAGCAGTAGCAGCAACGAGGGGCAGCAGCAGTAGCAGTAACCGGCAGCAGTAGCAGCAACCAGCAGCAGTAGCGGCAACGAGGGGCAGCAGCAGTAGCAGAAACCGGCAGCAGTAGCAGCAACCAGCAGCAGTAGCAGCAGCAATCAGCAGCAGCAGCAGCTTCACAAAACCGAGAGTGTTGCGGAGGGGAGAGCCAGCCAAAAGAGTGATCGTTGGGCGCCGAGGCGAAAGTAATGACATCCTTCAGGTCGTCAACCGTGCAACCCTTGTCGTCCAATTCCGCAGCAGTAAGAGTAACATGGATGTAGTTCAGGGCTTGATGAACAAGAAGGCTCATGTCAAGTTCAAAACGGACCGTCAAAAATGGTTCGATGGAAAGGGTCAGGTAGTCGTAGGCCAGGGGCGGAAATCATGTCAACAGTGGTGCGGGGCACGGGAAATGAGACCAAGATATCGACCAAGGGAAATTGTGTCTGTTTTGCGCTTGCTTTTGCTTGCTACTAACCCCTGTCAGGTCTCACCTCTTATGTACACGCACGACTGACGTAATTGGCCGAAGTGGTAAAACACCGGCTGCTTTCGCGCGTCACTGCACTTGACTGAGCATTCATTGCACTTGTCCTGCGGACCACTCTCGAGACAGTAAGGGAATTCCACTGCATTGCACTTCGTGTCACCCACAACAACAACCACCACAACAACAACAACAACAACCACAACGACAACGGCAACAACAAGAACAACAACAACACAACCCCCCGGGTCCGTCATTTCATTTCTCGTTGAACCCGGGCCTATCAAATGATTTCTCGTTAAACCCGGGTCCGTCATTTCATTTCTTGTTAAACCCAGGCCTGTCATTTCATGTCCTGTAAACCCGGGTCCTTCCTAATTGAAACAACAACAACAATAACAATAATAATAATAATAGTAGACCCCCGCGGTATAGTTGTATATAACAATACAAGCCCCCCAACTCAAAGAACAACATTACCCCCCTTATTGCTACAACGACGCCGCCCCCCCACTTGAACCAACAACACACCCCCATCTTGCTTTGACAATACCACCCCCCCAATTGAAACAGCAACCCCCACAGCTATCGGGCGGGTATGTACCTATCTATCTATCTGTCTATCTTCCCATCTGTTTCCTTAACTATCTGATCCATTCATCTATCTACCTATCTATCTGTCTCAACTAACTATCTATCTACCTATCTATCCATCTGTCTGTCTATCTACCTATCTACCTATCTACCTATCTACTCTACTCTACTCTACTCTACTCTAATCTAATCTAATCTAATCTAATCCAATCCAGTCCAATCCAATCCATCGATCTATCGATCTATCGATCTGTCGATCTATCGATCTATCTATCTATCTATCTATCTACCCGAACCTCTCTCTTTGTCTTTCTCCTTTGCCCCTCTTTGTAAGGTTCCAAAACATACTTGCAAACATTGGGCAACTCACAATCAGACGGAACATGTCAGCATGAACACTGCCCTCCTGTCTACAACATCTGCCAAGTGTCATTATCGACGCGTTTGCCCTGGAAACCAGATGCATCTCCGCAAGATCAAACCCATGCGCGTAAAAGAAGTCGTTCGGGACGAAGTTTACCTCTTGCATTGGTGCATTCGGACAAATAAGTGCACACATGCTAATATACAAATATATAATGTATTGCGGTATACACATTCTGCCATCTAAAAAATGTTTGGCAGGAATTGTTAGGTCCCAAGATATTTTGATCGCAATCCATCCCACCCTACCAATTCGCGTTGTTTTACGAACGCCATAAATTGCACAGGCTGTTGGCGTTGTAGTGGTTGTTGTGGTTGTTGTGGTTGTGGCTGTGGCCGTGGTTGTTGCTGTTTTGTTGTTGAAGGCGGTGTTATTGTAGTGGTGGTGCTGGTGGTGGTGGTGGTGGTGCTTGTCGTTGTGGTCGTTGTTTTGACCAGAAGCTGAACCAGAAACAGAAAATGCATATATTCAAAGGCAACTTGGATTGCATAACTCGCACTGAGAGGCCATCGGAAGCCATCTTGAAGGAAGGGGGGGCACCCTAACGAGCATGCAAAAAAGCATCGCTCTAAAAAAAACTTTGCAAAAAGCACTACAAACACTAGAGTTTCCCATGCTCTTTCTGCAAGAGCAGAAAACACCCATACTTGCGAGGTTTTCTGACCTCTCCGTTTTGCCCGACAAGCCTCCAAGCCTCCTCCCCTGTGGCCTGCGGGGTGCACCTGCTGAAAGTGTCGGGTTGTTGTGCTTGTTGGTGGCGCTGTGGTGGTGTCTGTAGTTGTTGTTGTGGTTGGTGTTGTGGTTGTTGTTGTTTTGGGTGGTTGTTGGCGTTGTCGTCATGGTGGTGGTTGTTGGTGTGGTCATTGCTTTGACCAGATGCTGAACCAGAACACACAATGCCAATATATAAGGCAAGGCAACTGGGGCTGCATAACTCGCGCCGCGGGGCCACGGCCACCCGCAACCATCTTGAAGGGGTGGCGCCCAACGAACATTTGCCACAAACAAAACTAAAAACATTGCGAGCTCTCCATTGCGCAATCCCGCCAGGTAGAGCCGCGTCTGTCCTGGCCCTGCAAACAGCCGCCCTGAAAACTAGCCAATGTCATACTCAACGCATCGATGCCCCAAAGCTCGGATCTTTTCAGCATTGGCTGTCTCCTCAAGTCCTGCAGACTTTCAAGCCCCAGCCTGTGAACGGTTCCGTCATCAGCGGCTCTGAATGCTCATGCGCTGTGGGGCTCTGGAGCCTTCGCTGACACTGTCTGCACCGTGGGTCTGTGACATTTGGAAGATCGACGCCGTCGGGGCCCGTTCCTGTCGCGGAATCAGCAGCTGCCCTTCTCTGCGCACTCTCCGGATTGAAAGAGGCGACATAGTTCCACGCCTCATCTGTTGTGTGTGGAGTTGCCATCGTCACCGACTCGGTGCTCCCGAATTCTCCCTCTTAGGTGGCCGTTCCGGAGGGCCTTCTTGCCGTGCTGGACCGCATGGGCCTCTTGCCCAGCGGCGTCTGATTCTCTCAACTTGTTCAAGGCGAGCTCTGACATCGGCTTGGTAAATCACAGGCAGGCGCGGCCATATGCCATATCTTTCACCGTACCGCGTGATCAACTTCTCACGGGTGTCAAGCTTGAAGCTGGCATCTGCTTCAAACAGGATCGCCCCGGTGTGGAGCACCATGAAGCGGTTCCACTGTCGTGGGTTGGTGATGCACGCATACCTTTCACTGCATTCTATTGCGCGCAGGTCCTCGCACCTCTAAGTTCGTGTAAGGTGCACGGCTTGGTGCGAAGAGCGCGTGGAGTGTTGATAGCTGTTCTTCGACTTCTCGTGCTCGTTGTAGCACTAGGTGCCGTTGTTGCTGTAGCTGGAGTGGCGGTCACTCCAATAAGGAATCTGCATGTCCTTGCAAATACCTCCAGCCTGCCTCAAGTCTGCCATGGTAGGGGGGGTCGTCCGCCTCCACCTGTTGCTGGCACACGCCAAAGGTGCAATTGCAGCCGCCAGCTCGGCTTTTCGATCCTTCAGCGCCGTTCAGTAAGTTGAACAGGCTGCCGTGGACTGTTCTGGCTTTCGTCCTGGAGCTTTCAAGCCTGATCCACCGTACAACTGCGCCCAATGAAGTCAAATCGCTTAGCCTGTTCAGTTGTGGGGCCCATTAATGGAAACAGTGTTGCCTGAAGGGAGCTGCAATGGTACTGGATGCCCAGAACTCTTGGTAGCAGCAACACACACAACAGCAGCCAAGCAAGAGGGCGTATAGCGCACCAGAACAAACACCAGCAAGTAGATCAGTAGCCAAGTCAACGTGGCTGCAGGTGGCGCAAGCTGGGGCGACATGCCAGGATACAAAACCAAAATTTGGCCACATGGCATGACCTGAGCCAAAATGGCCATGTCCACCCTCCCACTATATAAGCAATCCAAAGATTGTTACAATCACACTGCAGTCGCTACATCACTAGATGTTCCTACCTTAAAGTTTGGGCTGTCCCTGACACTTCCAATTTCACCGCGCCGCTACAGCACAGCACTAAGAAAGCGCGTGGATGAAAATTGCTGGTTCGATTGCAGGGCACATCAATGCGCTCTGGATCCACAAAAGTCACAATCCGGCTGCGACGTTTCCGATGTGGTCCAATCATGTCACTGAGGACGGACTGCCAGCAATCGCAATACATGCCATAGGGAAAAACGCCATTCCTGACAGACATCTCTTATCAAATCTGTCACGTGCCTCGGGCTATCTTTCAATCAGTCAAACTTCAAGATTCAAGATGCGAATGTCCACACAGTGCATGTTGAGTTCTTGCGCCCAAAACATGTGGGAGTAGAAACCTCCAAGTGCTTTATGACTGCGATTGAACAACCCTTCACCTTCCAGTCTTGTCGCACAACAATTGATTCCTCTCCCTGCTTCACCAACAGCTCATGACTGTGATGAGCATGGTTCCACGCTTGCCGTCGGATGATGTGCAGTTCGCCGCTTTTACTTTTTCACTGGCTCAAGGTATCCGGATGACCACATGCGCGACAGGCAAAAGTGCCTCATTGCTTGCTTTTTGCTTTTGCTGGGCCGACTTGGTTTTTCGACTTGGTTTTTCCTTTTTCGGTTGCGGAAAGACTCTTGTTCTTAGAGGGGCTGGCCCCCCCAATCACCACATTGGTAGCGGAGCTAGGGGGCGGAACTAGGTTTTCTAGGCTGCCTGCTGCACCCACATCCAATGGCCGACGCCATGCCGAGCGATGGCCTCGAGAGCGCTGAGCCAGCGCTGCCTGATGCGGCCGCCGTGCCGCTGCCTGACCAGGATCCTTGGCAGGAGCCTGGACAAGATCCATGGCACCCGGCTGGAGGAGGAGAGACGGGCTCTCATTCCCCCATGCCTGGTACGGGTTCGAGCACGCCAGTGGGACCAACGGGACAACCTGTGACATTGGGCCCCTCAGCTGCTTCAGTGCAGCCTGGTCAAACTCATGCCACATCAGAGGCACCTATGACCATCCCAGGTGGACCTCCAGGATTGTTGCAGGCCTCTTCAGCGGCAGCCCCAATGACCATGGCACCAACGACAGCACCACAGGGTATGATGTCACCAATGGGACCGTGCTCATGCCAGGGATCAGGATGGATGATGCCTCAAGGAATGGTAGCACCACATACTACCCCGTTTGGAGCATGTCTTGGAGTACCACCCAATGGGTTCACGGCACACCACATGCCTCCAACACCGTGTATGGGCTATCCCACTATGCCTTGGTCCACATTCCCTTGGGCATGGCCTCCCCATCCAATGCCCCCGGCACCAGTATCCAGCGCCCTGACAGCACAGACAGCACAACAGCCGATCCAGGGACCACCAGCCACGTCAGGGACTGGTAGCTGGTCAAAACCCGCTTCAGTGCAGGGACCTCAAACCAAGCAGAGTGCTCCAGAGACACCAGAAGATGAAGATCTGGACGACAGCTCCTCGGCGCAAACTTCAGAAATCCGATCCATGCTGCGACAACGAATGAAGAAGGAAGGGAACGGCTATCAGAGGCCGAAGAGTTCCCTTGGATCGGTTCGCATTGAAGAGTACTGGGGAGAACGCTCCAGGTATGTGAAGTGGAAGCGCACCATCCAGGCACAGCAGTGTTTGTATGGCCTGGAGTCTCAGGAGTTGGCAATGCTGATCTACCTCAGCACACGTCGAGAGGCCCGAGACGTTGTGGAACAGCATCCAGTGACCTCATACACTGGAGCTGGTGGCCTCCATCTCCTTTGGCGAGTGCTTGATGAAGCGTTCGGAGAGTCTGAGGCTGAGCTCTTTGAACGAGCCGACAAGGAGCTCGAGAAGTACCGCCGTGCACCAGGAGAAAGCATTGCACACTACCTTGCTGAGATGAGGAGGCTCAGAGCTCAGTACACTCGAGTTGATCCTGACACCAAGCTATCCGACCGTGCTTGGGCCCAGAAGCTGCTCCACAAGGCTTCGTTGAGCCGGAAAGATCGGTATGACGTGTACTACAGTGCCGGAGCCACCTATGACCCGATCGCCATCGAGAAGGCTCTCCGTGTTCGCTGTCAGAAGACTCATGAAGATGAGAGGAGAACACCTTCCAGAACACCACACCGTGAGAGAGGTGAGAGAGAGCGAGAAGATGATGGCAAGGTGAGCGTCTTCAAGAAGAAGAAGATCTTCATCAAGAAGAGAGTCCATGGTGCTCATGTAGCTGAAGGCTTGGAAGATGAAGATGAGGAGGAAAGTCCAGCCGCCATGGAGCAGGAGCCTCACGAAGAAGAAGAAGTCGGAGACCAACCTCCGGACGATGAAGAGGCGGCCGAAGATGATGAAGACAACAGGACAAGTGATGGTGAGATGGAGGAGGGTGGAGAGCTGAAAGAAGCATTTGCCGCCGGTTGGAAGGCAAAGCAAAAGGTAGCAGATTTCAAGAAGCAGCGAGGATGGAAAGCTACCGACAAGAAGGGCGAAAAAGGGGCCTCCAGCGCGACCATCGACGCCAGGAAGAAAGCAACGACATGCAGTAGTTGCGGACGTCAGGGACATTGGCCGGGGGATCCTGAGTGTGTCAATGTCATCAATGGACGAGACCAGCCACACCACAAGAAGACATCAATGGTCCACTTCACCTACATGGTTTCCAGTGGAGATGCACTTCAATGCCCTCAGTGTCACTGGCCTTCCAAGTTCTGTGGAGAGTGCGGCTGTGCTCTTCATCCTGACCAGCGGATGTCAGGACAGTCCAAGCGAAGCGGAGAAGATGATGAGTGGGAGGAGGTGAAGGATGATCGCTTCGCATTCTCAGTGAAGAAGACATCCATCGTTGGAGCCAAGCCCAAGGCAAAGGCAAAGAGCCTGGTACTGTACCTCCTGGCCAAGTTCGTCTTCAAGGTCAAGAGCTGATGACTGCCTTGCCTTCCATGTCAAAAGAGGAGAAGAAAGCCCTTCAACAAGCGTTGCAGGGTAGAGCCTTGTTCGCGACTCGTTGTCGTAGCGTTCGCAACCGTTGTCAACCGTCCGCAACCGTCCACAACCGTCCGCAGTAGAGCGCTAAGGCGCTGCCATTCGGGGAACCTTTTGGAGAGAGTTTTGCATGGAAGCGTGACGGGTCAGATGCGTGTGAGATAGCGAGGAATCGTGTGGAAACGTAAGATGTTGAAGTGTGGAGGATGATTTCACTGCGCAGGCGCAGCGTTTTGCGAAATTCGCAGTTTTCTGCGTAGTCACATTGGGACTGGCGTTTGGGGAGTGGTGTTTTTTGGGGTGTTGGATGTGGCTGTGACATTGGGATTTGCGTTTCAGGGTTGCATCGAAGCTATGTTTTCGTGACAAAGTCTCAGCTGAAATGGCGACTTTGGTGGATGGGAGTGTGCTCAGAACGTCTCAAAGCCATTCCAATGTGATGTGGTGCAAACTTTGTTGAAGAAGAGGAGGACAAGGAGGTGGAAAAGAAGAGAGAAATGTACAAAGAGCTGATGAGGGAGTGGAGCTACTACGATGATTATGAACCCACTGGCCGGGAACTTTTCCCGGAAGATCCCAGTCGGTATGACGCCTGGAAGGCAAGAAGGGGCTATGGAGGAATCGATGAGAAGGACCCCATGGCATCAGCTTCAAGCAGTCAGACGCCAATTCCACCGGCGCCAAGAGCTGACAAGCCCAAGCCCGTGAAGGAAAAGGAGCTCCAGCTATTCAGAAAAACCCTGTATGATCAGCAAGTGCGACATGGCCGTTGCATGCCCTCGTCGGCCGCCACCTGTCCGACAGAAGCTCAAAGTCTCTGTCCACATCGACTTGAGGACTTGAAGTGGTCAGCCAATGCAGAAGGACACTTCGCTCGGTGCAAGGCCTGTGACCTCAAGCACGTGGTGTACTACTCCAATCGGCATGGAGCGATGATGGTGAGTCAGCACCAGCCGCCACCCGGCGTGAGCCAAGAAGCACGGGTGTGGATTAGAGAAGATGAAAGAGCTGCTCACTTTCGATGGGTCAACAATGGAGGACCAATGAAGCATCAGGTCACATGCCGTGTCACGAAGGATGTGCACGGAAACAACCTTGAGGTGAAGTTCCTGAAGGGAGATGAGGAGATGAATGACCTGACTAAGCCCATCGATGGACCACCACGTGCACTGCTCACTGAGTTCTGGTATGAGCTTGAGAAAAAGGAGGCCAAGCAATCACCTATGCCGTCCAACGTTCACTACATTCAGGCACAGAAGCCAGGACTGGCCATAGCAGACTCAGGATGTCGGAACTCGGTGGGAGGTGAAGTATGGCATCAACACTTCCAAGATGCTTTGAGGGCACATGGCATCCCTTGGGAAGAAGTCGCGGAGAAGGAGACCTACAAGTTCGGGGCAGGAGCACCCATTGTGAGCCAGACAGCTTGTCTCTACCCCGTCCTGATCCATGGACAGGTGGATGTCGTGAGGATGTCAGTGGTTGGGAAAGGTGGTGCTGCCTGTCCGGGCCTGATTGGTCCTGGAGAATTGAGTCGTTGGGATGCCATCTTTCACTTCAAGGACAAGCAAATGGAGTTGAATGGCCTCAAACGTGAGACGCGATTGACGGCCACAAGGCACCCCGGCATCGAGCTGATGGAGTTTCATCCTGAAGAGATAGCAAAGGTCAAGCAGTTCTGGCAGTCAGAAGAAGCAGAGAAGAAGAGAAAGATTTTGAAGAACACTCCCCACTCGTACGCATTCCTGACAACTGAAGGTGAAGAAGATGAGACCGAGGATGACGACACGGAGGAGGAAGAAGTGCCAGAGCGAGATGACCGTCAGAGGAAGGTGGAAGAATGGACCCAGCAGCTTGAAGATTTGGGCGTGACGATGGTGCCCACAGTGCCGGCCTTGGAGGAGGAAGAAGAGGCAAGCAGTTCAGCAATGTCAGATGGTCACGACTCCTCAACGTCACATGAAAAGGGAGTCGACATGGTGACAGATGACTCTGACAGTGAAGAAGAAGGGACGAAGCAAGCCCCAATTGCTGAATCAAAGATTATGCACAAAGGCCTCCGTCATCGTTTGGGCCATGTCTTGAGTGAGATCAAGAAGACCTTCCAAGGAGAGACAAAGGCACAAAGAAAGAAAGAAGCAGGAGGAGAAGATGGAGGCAGAAAGGAAGAAGTGAGGAGAGGAACAGAGAGGAAGCGCCCATGGACCATCGTGGAGATCTTTTCGTGGACATGTGCAATTTCGATGGTCGCTTCTATGAGGGGCTGGAATGCCTCAGAGCCGATTTCGCTTCCACACTGGGACTTGCTCAAAGGCCAAGACCGCGCTGCAGCCCTTCAGTATCTCGACCAGCTTGACCCTGATGTGATGGTCATCGCTTGGCCTTGCACAGTATGGAGTCCGCTTCAAGTGTTTGGCAACAAGTCACCGTGGCAAAGAGAACGACTTGAAGAGAGGAGAGAAGAGCAGAGGGAATTGCTGGGTTTCGTTCGTGATGCTAGCCATGGCCAAAGAAGAAGGGGTGGTCTGCTGTTGGGAGAGAATCCCAAGCCCTCTCTTGCTTGGCGAGAACCTCTCATAGTGGAAGCCTTTGATGGAATGGGTTCGATCATCACGGACATGTGCCAGTACGGCCTCCGCATCCCAGAAGGAGGTCCATTTTTGAGAAAGAGAACTCGTTTGGAGGGCACTCCGGAGCTGTTGCAGCCCTTAGCAAAACTATGTCCTGGAACCCATGAACACACCCCCGTCTTGGGTGGCATGAGACATCAAGGCAAGTGGATGAATGTTTCGGATTTTGCTGGAGGCTACACCAGTCGATTCGCTCAAGCCGTGGTGAAGCAAGCAGAGAAGGTCTTGGAAGAAAAGGGAAGAAGGCCAGAAGCCCTCCTGACACTCCCTGCATTCCCAGAAGAAGATCTAGATGAAGAAGCAGAAAGGACAGAGGTGAAAGGCTCCAAGGAAGAACAACCACAGAGCTGGCGAATCCAACAGCTCCACAATAGGTTGGGACATACAACCAACTCCACACTGAGCAAAATGCTTTCTTTGGCAGGCGCTTCCAAGGAGATTGTGAACAGAGCTCAAGATTTTCAGTGCCCAACGTGCCAGGAGACACAACCTCCTGGACGTTACTTGAAGGCCAGTGCTGAGATGCGCACCACTATCTTCGGCAAAGAACTGCACTGTGATCTAAAGTACTTGCATGACCACAAGAATGCATTGTATGTGGCCTTATCGATGGTAGACAGTGCTACTTCCTTTCATCAGGCAGTCCTCCTGAGAAATCGCTCAGCAGAACATGTGGCCCGCAAGTGTTTGAGACACTGGTTCGCTCTGTTCGGAACTCCACAAACCATCGTACTGGACCAAGGAGGAGAATTCGATGGCTACTTCACTGGCTTCCTAGAGCAACATGGAGTACACAGCAAGGTGAGTGGAAGCAAGTCAGCATGGCAACACGGGTTTGCCGAGCGTCACGGGGCGTTGCTGGGAACAATGTTCACATCTCTGGCCTGGCAGTATAAGGTGGAAGGGAGAAGCCAAGTGAAGGATGCTTTGTGTGCTGCCGTGCAAGCAAAGAACTCAACTCTTACGAAAGGTGGATACACACCTTTCCAACTTGCTTTCGGACGGCAGCCCATGTTTCCAGACCTCCTTGAAGAAGACGTTGAAGGAAACATGTCCCTTCGAGAAGCCCTTTCATTAGAAGGAGAAGTTCAGAGGGCATCAGAGATGAGAGCTGCCGCCCGTGCCACTCTTCTAAGGCATGATGTTCAGTCCAAGCTGCGAAGGGCACTGAGGAGGTGGCCGAAGGGTGAAGAAAGAGAGTTCGAGCCAGGAGAACTGGTGTACTTCTACGCCCCAAAGCCCTTGAGCACACGTTTCAAGAAGGAACCCGGGTTCTGGCGTGGACCAGCAATGGTGCTGGCAAAGGAGTCACACCAGAAGTTCTTCATCAGTTGGCGAGGCCGATGTCTTTTGGTCTCTGCAGCCAACTTGAGATCAGCCTCACGACTGGAAGGAAAAGATCATGACAAGAGGCTGCAAGAAGGAGAAAGGCTTGAGGAAAGTTGGAAGAAAGGAGAGAAGCAATTCGAAGACATGAGTACAGTTCCAGAACCGGTAGAAGAGGAGAAGACTGAAGCTCTGGGCTGGGAAGCACATGATGGAGTGGTTTCAAGGAAGCCAGGAGGAAGACCTAAGAGCCAAGCAAAGGAGATCGCCGCGATCGCCAAGACTCTGAGGGGGATGAAGACAATCAAGACGATCCAGAAGCATAGAAGGAAGAAAGAAGATCGCCTCGACCTCCGGAGTGGGACAACGAAGCCAATTGAACGACTGCCTCAAGAAGAAGCAAAGCCCAGCGATTTCAAAGATCCCCAGGAGGAAAAGAAGGATGAAGAGGCCAGGAACCAGAAGATGCAGCAAATCCAAGAAGAGATGTATAAGTGGTTGGGCAAGCCACAAGAAGATGGCTATCAAGACCGTTTGAGACAACATCTGATTGATGATGTGCCCATGCAGTTCAAGAGAAAGCATCAAGAGGAGCCAGCTGGACAGTTGTCTGAGGAGCAGCTGGTGAAGAGGTTCAGGCCCTCCTTCTTCGCTTACACGATGCTGGCCTCCATCAATCGAAGCCAGGGTGAGTGACCTCCTAGAATGGAAGAAGATGGTCAAGGAGGAGGAAAATCAACAGGCATTCTTTGAAGCTTTTCTCCTCCAGGTGAAAGCTAGCGGGAAGGAACTCGATCCAAGATTCTTCAGTACAGAAGAACGGAAAGCCTTCGACGTCGCCGACAAGAAAGAATGGGAATCTTGGGTGAAGAATCGAGTCATCAGAAGGCTCACCCCTGAAGAGGCCCGAGGAGTAGATCCGAAGAACATCTTCAAGGCACCAGCAAGGATTGTCCGGGTCAATAAAGGAGCCATGCAGGGCATCTTCCAACCAAAGTCCAGGATGGTGATCCCTGGCCATTTGGACCCACACCTTGGCCAGTATCGGTCAGATGCACCGACGGTGATGTGGATCAGTGTCCAGCTCGCCAAGGCGGTTTGTGCCATGAAGAAGTGGAGAGCCTTGACCTTTGATGTCACGACAGCATTTCTCAGTGGCAAGGAGGTCGACAGAGAGGTGATGGTCAGGGCACCGGAGGGCTTGCCGGCAATTCCTGAAATGAAAGAACCAGCAGTCAAACCAGGAGAGCTGCTGAGAGTGGTGAAGAGCGCCTATGGCTTGTCAGAAGCACCCAGGTTATGGTACCTGCGGGCCAAAGAACTGCTCGAGGAAGCAGGTTTTGAAGAACTCCAAATGGCAAAGGCCACCTTCCTGAAGAGATCCAAGAAGAACCAGGAGGTGGAAGCAATCCTTTGCCTACATGTGGACGATGGTCTCTTGGTGGCAGATCGCAAGCTTGCTCCAGCCATCCAGCAGTCCATCGACAAAAGGTTCGCAATAAAAGAATGGAAAGATCTAGAAAAGGAGCCAGAGACCTTCCTAGGAGTGAAGACAAGTTATGCTGATGGAGCCTTCACCGATGACATGACAGAATACATCGACAAGATCAACTTCGCTCCGGAAGAGACATCTTCAGAAGAACCACTGGTGGGAAAGCAACTGTCGGCATTCAGGCGCCTCATCATGCAGTTGCGTTGGCCCTCACACCATGTGCTTCCGGAATTCCTCTACAGAGTGAGCGAGTTGGCTCAACGAGTAAGTCATGCAAAAGGAGGCGACCTGAAGTATGGCAACAAAGTTCTCAAGTCCATGAAAGAAAGTGCAGCCCAAGGCAAGGCCACCATGAAGATCCCCGCCATCTCAGGGGAACCGCTGCTGATCGGTTTCTTCGATGCCTCCCTTGGAACATCCAAGAGCACCCATGCCCAACAAGGAGAAATCCACCTCCTTACCAGCACCACGGCATTTCGCCAATCAACCCCCATGTGCATCCTCGAATTCCACTCAAATCGCATCAAGCGTGTGGTTCGAAGTTCGCTTGCGGCTGAGGGATGCGCCATGAGCAGTTGTGGGGACCGGCAGCTGTTCAGCCGGGTTTTGCTGGATGCCTTCCTATATGGGAAGATGGAGGTGACCTCCCAGTGGCGCCGGGAGCTCAAGACTTCCGGATGTTTGGTGACCGATGCAAAAGGATTGCACGATCACCTCCATAAGACCGGAGGGGTGGCAACTGAGCGGCAAGCAGCATTAGATATGCTGTTGATGAAGCAGCTCATCGAGGATGGCATCATCGGCCTGAAATGGACGCCAACCTGGCGCGAATTGGCCGACCCTCTCACGAAAGAGATGATGGCCACACTCCTCGAAGACCTGAAGAAATCAGGTCAGGTCTGTCTGACCCAAACGGCGGCAGACGCCAAAGAAGAAGAGCGACGTGCTGGGATTCGAAGAGGCCAGCGAGAACGTCGCAAGGAACGAATGAAGAGCACCAAAGAAAAGACACGAACCGACAGCAACGCCTTTTCCCTTTGATGTGATGAGCATGGTTCCACTCTTGCCGTCGGATGATGTGCAGTTCGCCGCTTTTACTTTTTCACTGGCTCAAGGTATCCGGATGACCGCATGCGCGACAGGCAAAAGTGCCTCATTGCTTGCTTTTTGCTTTTGCTGGGCCGACTTGGTTTTTCCTTTTTCGGTTGCGGAAAGACTCTTGTTCTTAGAGGGGCTGGCCCCCCCAATCACCCACAATGACTTGTTCACACCATCAACGTATTACAAAACCGATGCCAAATTACAGCTCACAAGGAAATGCAGTGTTGTGCCCCACTCTGGCTACTCGGGTCTGCCACCTTCTGCCCAAGAGTTGCAGCACAACCAAAACATCCAGAGACCCAGAGTCAAACAGAGTTTCTGAGACAAGGGTGCAAGGAGCCTTGCCAGTCTTTGAAGTGTGTTTGGGACCCATTGCGCTCACTCCGGGGTGGCCATGGCCGATGCCATCTCACGTTTTCGAGCGTATCTCTGCTTGCAGTGGTTCTATCAAGCAATTGTTGGCGAAGCACGGAAGTGGAAGAAGAAATCGCAGGCATTCCGAGTTGTATCCACGCTTTCCCAGCAGCTGCATTTCCATGCCTTCAACAAGCTACAACTTAAAACCAGAAACACTATCTCGCCTTGGGCGTGTCAGTTTTTGCTGCACATCTTGGATTCAATATGCAGAAAATGTTTTCTTCTGTGGCACTCCGTCTGTGTGCTGCCGAGTCTAGTTTCCATTTCGTGCCTACCAGTTCCAAGATCGACTCGGCTAAAGCACTCTGGTCCCAGGATGCTGCCCATCGCGTCTTTTGTCGCCACAGCTCCCTGGGATGGATGATAGCAGTCACTTCTCGCAGGATGTTTTTATTTAGCCGCCCTGACTTCAGGAGGTTTGCGTCCAAGTTTCAGGAGCAATCGGGATGCTCTGGTATTGCGGAGTGCCAAGAATCCGCTGTTCAGGCCTTGCAAAATACATAACACCACTGTGTTACTGTGGGCTTCTTTCACTAGAGTCACTAGAGCGGATTTTCGTACAGTAAGTCAAATCCAAGATGCACTCAATTACAGGCCATGAGTCTCGAACAAACACATCCTGGCACAGTTCTTTCACAAATCGCCAGCAAGCCAGAATCATATCTCGGAGGTGCAGCCAAGATTCACCGGGACGGTGGGAATGCGACTGTGGGACCAAGAATGGGATCAAACCCCATTGCAGACTGTCAGGTCGTATTGTCACATCCACATCAAGGTACAGGACCATCATGACATGCTTGTCCAGCTGGCGTTCAATAGACCAAATCTTGGTCTGCTTGCCCGGGTCATCAAAATAGATAGTCACCTCAAGGCCGCAACGCCAGAAAAACCTGGCAAATAGGCAACCCGGTCCCCGTCTACAGTCTGACACGTGGAGACATGAAAAGGCAAGGCACAAAATTCTCAAGGGATGCAAGCTCCACCGCTCTGCTGAGCTGGTACTGTTGCAAATCTTCAACCAGAGTCACGACATATTTCAAGTGGTCCTGCAATTGAAGCCTTGTAAGGAGTGACAGCACAGCGGTGGCAATGAGACTGGTTGCGCATTCACTGCTCCTCCTCCCATTTTTCTTGTTCAACTGCACCATCAGCACCTATCTTTGTACTATGCCAGTGGCCAACCCAAAAGTAGTGGCCTGTGCGGCCCAAGGGCACATGGCGCAATGGCCAGGGCCCACCATCAGCTGCAAATTGCATACCTGCACAGGTTCCCAAACTGTAAATGGATTCCCTGGGCGCAATGTGCGCACTGCGAGCAGGCCCTGCCTCGTGCAAAGGCATAGCATTCGAGCTGGCGAACAAAGGGCGCAACGAAAGGCTCTTGGAAGTAGCCGGCAGAATGGGCCGACAGTAACAACACAGACGAGCCCTCATCAGGAACCTTTCGCTCCTGCAGGATTTAAACTGAAACTACAGTAGGAATCGATTGCAATCTTCCTCTACGAGTGCTTCTCAGTCTCTCTCTCCCCTTCTCTCTCAGTCCTGCGGTCCCCCAAAAGGGCTGAGCAAACGCGTCGCCTTTGCCCGCAGAAGTTCTGCTTGGCGAAGGTGAATCTGGGTTTCGATTCAACAACATGAATACCACATTTAAACGGGCATGAATGCATTGCAAACCAAAGGCGTTCTGCAGGCCAAGACTCCATTCTTTGCGTAGCGTCTGTCCACAAATTCTCCCACACTGCCCTCCTACCTTCGCTTTCAAAGGGCCCGCCTTCGAAAGACCACGGCAACTGGAACATACTGCAACAAACAGGAGTCGGCAAGCACAAGCACCACCAATTGCAAAAGATTCCAAAGTCCAAAGCTTGGGGTCCTTTTCGGGCTCCAAAAATAAGCGCGAGGAAAGACCAGGAAAAGGCGCAACTTCTCACGGTTGTGCAATTCCGAAGCTTCTTGACCTTGCCGCGGTGTGCTTGTGTGCCTTGACACAGCACACACACCCAAGCAAAGACACGATACTTAAGAAATGAAAAATCTACCACAACGCGCTGCTTTCACAGCGCAAGCCTCAGGGGAGGCATGCCAACAATGAACACTGAATGAAGGTTGGATTCTATGATGCGGTGGGTCGCCAAAGCATAAGCACCACGAAGCCAAGATTTCGGAGATTCACCATGGAGAAACCTTAAGGAGACAAGGAAGCACAGAAAAACGCCACAATTTCAAACAATTGCCATGCTCGAGTTGACTCCTATCTACGTGTTGCACCCAGGCCAGCAACTCATGGGATCGAAACGGTCGAACATGCGGTAGTTCATCCGAGCTATTGGTTTGCTCTGAATGCGCTGCAGCGCTTGATCGGCAGCCTGCTCGCACTTCAGGCCATAGCAGAGGAGACCTCAGGACATCGACTGCGTCATGTGTCACTCTGCCATGCCACGTGATGTGCCACCTCTGCAGCCACATGTTCGGCTGGAATGTCCAAGAAACCAACCAAAATGGCTCTGCAGCTGTAATGCCACACACGTCCTGGAAGCTTGGGAAAATTCATCAACGCACATCACACATCCAAATCCTGGACTTTGTTGAAGCCTTTGGCCTTCAACGGTCCAGAAGACAAATCGCGAGCACGATAATATCCCGCAAGTAGCGTGGCATGTGTCAGAACTTGAGCCCATCTGGCACTATTGAATCAGAGCTTTAAAACCTTTGCTTAAAAAACACTGGTTCAATATTTATGATGAAAATGTTGGTGGATTCTTTGTGCAAGAAGACTTGAACCAACGCTGCTGCTTGCGTGGAACATGCACATGCAAATTGCACTACTCGGGCTGTCTCCGGTCACACACGAGCAGGGCCTCCCCGAGTGATCTCTGCAGGACTGCACCTGCGCTTTGTCAGGTGTCAACCTGCTTACCCAGCCAGTGGGCACAGTGCTGCTATTCCAAGCTGCATGTCCTTTTGTCAGGACTGAGATAGGCACACCACCACCAATGCGGAATACACTTTTTACTTGTGCCTGGCTACGCAAAAGAATCTTGCATTGTCTCAAATGCTCATTTAGAGGCATCTACAATGCCTTCAATTCATTCGCAATCTCAAGCCACAGACCTGTCCTCAGTGCATCCGACAATCATTCCTATGCAGCCTGACAAGAAACCAAAGGCTAGCCGCCTTATAAAAATCTTTCGTATGGTAAGGCCAGGAAAGCCTGCTTCAAAAAGCTCAAATAAATGTCCAAAAAAAATGTACCAGCGTAGACCCCAAACAGTTTCAATACGATTCGTTCGGACCAAAATTTATCAAAAACGATTTTTCTTGGTACGCCCTACCTTCCCCCCAAGAGCTAACTGCTTTATCAAAGATTTTTGTCGGCATGAACTCGCTATATAATTGTTCGGCCACAAGAGAAGACAAGAGAAGAGCAGGTCAAGAGAAGACAGAGTACAAGACCCGGCCACAGAGCCGGGCCACAGAGCCCGACAGAGTTCAGGGGTGGGACACACCAAGACAAGGACAAGAGGAGGACAAGGCCTGGACACAAAGCCGGGCCACAGAGCCCGACAGAGTTCAGAGGCGGGACACACCAAGACAAGGACCAGAGGAGGACAAGGCCCGGACACAGAGCCGGGCCACGGAGCCCAGCCACAGAGTTCAGGGGCGCGGCCAGTGAGTGTGGCCAGCTCTTTTTTCTAAGATAGAACCCCAACAGTAAACTGTTTGGGGAATCAAATGGAAAAGTCAAAGTCCAAAAAGCAGAGTCAAATGGAAAAAAAAAAATACCCAAAAAATGAAATTAGAAAACAATTTCCTTTTTTCAATTCAAAATTAGAAAACAACTCGGAAAAAAATACATCAAATAAAGTCAAAATATACGTCAAAAAACAAAGAAAAAATCAAAATAAGTTACAAACAAATCAACGTGAGTAAATATCTCGAAAAAGAGTCAACAAAAAAGTCATTAGCAAAATCAAAACATTAGAAAACAAAGTAAAAAAGTAAAGAAAAAAACTCGAAAAAATAATCAAATAACAATAATAGAAACATGCAAATTTGGAAAAAAAAGAAAAGCTCGAAACACAAAATAAAAACGGATCTGGGCCAATTGACATGTGTTTAACTTTCTGAAACGTTTATGATGTTATTTGTTTGACATTGACTTTTGGCACCGACTACTATGTTGACTTTTGATCTGTTTAATCTTGAATTCAGGCTCTCTCCAATGAAAGATTTTATAAGTCTAGCCAACACCAAGAAAACAAACCTAGCAGTGTCCAGTTGATGCAAGCAAGGCGAGTGCTGGTTGATTTTCTGCCGTTGTTGATAGACACCTCGAATACAGTGCGAACAGGATCGATAAATTCACACCGATTCGCTGGCATAAGCTTGGTTGATTGTTCGCACAGTTCGTCAGGTCCTTGGATTTATGTAGTGAGGCGCAGGCCATATTCATTTCTGCGCGCATCAAGCCTCAAGTCCTCATCCAAACCCATTTCCTCCAAGAACCTTGCCAAACACTCACTTGCAACAGTTTGTCCACAGCATGTTTTCTTGAACAGGCCTGTCGGTGTCACCAATCACCTCAACACAAAGCCTGGCCAGCTTTCTCGGTTTCACGGCAAGAGCAACGCGGATGGGCAACATATGCACAAACATCTTGAGGTCCTGGCCATACACCTGAAAAGTTTGGGTGCACAGCCACGACGTCATCTGGATTTTCCAGGAGAAGATCTGCAAATTGCCGAGACGCGGAGGTAAGAAATTTATATAAGCGTCATGTGACACTAGCAACATCCATTTGCCTGGATCCCCCTCGTCCGGCGGAGAAGAATGGGTATGAAACATGTCCTCAGCATCACAACGGTCACAAAAAGGCATCAAAAGTTTGGAACCTCACCTCCTTGCAAAATCTCGAACATGGTGATACCCAACACCTTGCCAGCGTTTGTTGCTGCTTCTGGTTCCAAAATCTACCGCAATCAGTTTCCCGCAACCAGTTTCCAAAGGATTCTCCTTGCTGCACCCTGGCGTGACTGATGGCCAAACCACGGTCAAAATCCCGAATGGAACGGAGAGATTCCGAGAAAAAAACAAGGAACTCATTGAAACCGCAGTCCTCGCTTCACCGGCCCTGGGTGCCTTACCGCAATCGCAATGCTGACTGGACCACAGGTGCTGTGAGAATATCTTTGCACCGTTGCACCCCGATCAAGCTTGGCACAAAGGACATGTCGACCACCAACTCCGGGGTCCTTGCAAAACTTGGTTGCTTCAACTAAGCCATGACAGTCATGAGTCATAGAATCATAGGAGGAAAAAATACGGAAATATAATATATTATATTTAAAAAATCGAGGTCATCTACGGTCACTTCAAAAAATACAAAACAAATGCTGAGCAACAATGATGCCCTCGTTGACGTACTACTTTGTTGGCATGCCACCTGCGAAAATGCCGGTTGGATTTCACACAATGGGCCATAGGGAACAAATTGTTTCAGCCAGCCTCCTTCGCATGTTTCATCGCATTGGTCTGATCCCTCAGCTTGATGGTGCCAGAATGTGCCAGACACAAATCAACTGGACGGCCCACTCTTGGATAGGTACGAGGATTAAAGGCCTTTGAACTTCCTTGACGTTCTTGACATTGGGCCGGTGCAAGTCTTGAACGTTGCTTTTCTTGGCTCTGCACTGTGCAATGAGCGTTCTCCAAAGTGTGTTCCACGCTGATTTGTCCAGCTACTGTAAATGTGATTGGTCGCAAGTTTCGCCAAAAAAAATCTCCCTTTTGGGAGGCCACTAGGTGAGCCAAAATCAACGGCCACTTTGTAAAGTTTCATGAGGTTCCCTCCTCCTGTTCCAAGACCCGGGCGCGTTGAAGTTCAAGCACTTACATTGCCCGAGTCCCATTCAAATGTCACTGAGTGGTGGGTTGACAACAAGAACCCCGCACAGACTATATACTATACAGCAAATCGCCAAACAACGGAGCACAAGCCGCCGGTCGCCAGATACGTTTGGTAGCTGATTCCGCCGGGCCGCCGGATACTTTTGGTGGCTGATTCCGCCAGCTGCCGGATACTTGTGGCTGGCGGATTCCGCCGGGTATTTAATTTGATAGGTGGCTGCCTTCTCTGGTGAGAAGCGTGGTTCCCCATCCTTCATGAATGCACCACAGCATGAGGATCCGCAATGCCGCGTGCATCCTTGGTGGCACTCCCAATTTTTAAGCCAGGAATCTTGGCACCGGACTTGAGCTAAAAAACACCCACGAACCCGAATGCAAACACGATCGAAAAACTACATATGTCAAAACGACACTCTTGTAGGAAACTCTTGTGGGACACTCTTCTGGGACACTCTTGTAGGACACTCTTGTAGGCAGACCGTGCCCCAGGTGGTTAGAACTGATCGAGTTCGAGTTCGAGTCAACGCGCTTGAGACGGAGGGGGGTTAGACATTCGAGTTCGAGTCAACGCGCTTGAGAGGGAAGGGGGTTAGACGTTCGAGTTCGAGTTCGAGTTCGAGTCAACGCGCTTGAGAGGGAGGGGGGTTAGACATT